CCCCACAGGCACCCCCGCCGCGGCGGGCACAGCCCCGAACCCCGCGGCCCGGCTCCCAGCCCACTGCCGGAGCCCAGCGCCTATCGCCGCTGCTCTCTCCCCAGGAGGGTGCTGGAGGCGGCCAAGAGGGCGAACCAGACGGGCCACTTCATCTGGATGGGCTCGGATAGCTGGGGCTCCAAAATCTCCCCGGTCCTGCACCTGGAGGAGGTGGCCGAGGGCTCCGTCACCATCTTGCCCAAGAGGGTGTCCGTCAAAGGTAAAGGGGCCACCGGCTCGCTCGGCTCCCCTCGGGGTTCGGCGCGGGTTGGGGGGTGGGCGGTCCCCTGCCGCGGCATCCCTCAACGGCAGGTTATCCGCTATTAAAGGCTCTGCCTTTTCCTGCGGGTCTCCCCCAGCCCGGCCCAACCTGGCAGCCTTGCAGCTGCCCTTGCTTTCCCTCGGCGAGAGCTCGGACACAAACCCACCGCCCTCGGGCACCTCCCCGCACCCAGACCCTCCTTCCCTGTTGATTTTCAGGCTTTGTTTTGCCTCTCTCCCCCATCGTGGAGCTTCATCCCCTCCATCCCCTCTTCCCTGGGCAGGTTTCGACCGGTACTTCTCCAGCAGGACGCTGGACAACAACCGCCGAAACATCTGGTTTGCCGAGTTTTGGGAGGAGAACTTCCACTGCAAGCTGAGCCGGCACGCGCTCAAGAAGGGCAGCAGCATCAAGAAGTGCACGAGTAAGGGCCGGCGGGATGCCGCGGGGAGTGGGTCTTGCGGGCGCGTGTTGCAGGGACGGGAAGATGATAAGGGGATGGCATGGAGCCTAGGACAGGCATTAAAAACATTTTGTTTGCTTTCCCCTTATGATCTTTCAGCTCAGCCCAATCTTTTCCGCTCGGGAGCTGCCAGGTCGGCTTGAGGCAGCTCTGTGGCCATCGAAGGTGGCCCAGGTTTTGGGCTGAGGGAGGGTGCAGGGATGCTCCGGCACTGGCTGGAGCGGTGTTTGCCTGCATTTCGTTGCAAGCTGCGTTGCTGCCGTGCTCCTGCATGGCTCCAAGCGGGGAACGGGGCGTCCTTGGCTACCTCGGCCCCGGTGGAGCAGGGCTTCCAGCCCCCAGCGCCCTCCTTAAGTGACTCTGGGTATTTTTAGCCACTTCCAGCTAAAAGAGGCTTGTAGGGATTAATGCAGTAAACAAAGCAAATAGGGAATCTGTCTTGCTGACAGCGCGGCTGCCAAGGTGATGGTTGGAGGCTCAAGGAGGTGACATGTTTACTGAGAGATTGCAGAGATTTACTGCGTGCCTGGCACCGGCTGAAGACAGATAACAATGCGGTGGCTCTCAGACTGCGACGTGGCAGGACTTGGGGACAATTGCACGTCCCCGTGGTCCTCCTGTGAGGGACGGCAGAGTAACCCTCGGCACACCGGCAGGCAGATAGGCCTGGCCGTGCTCATGGTAGTGCCTGGGTGATGTGCCAGGGTGTCAGCACCCATGGGTGTTGAGGGCTGTGTGTCCAGCTGAGTTTGGCAGTTGTCAGATCTTGTTACGCCTTTGCCAGATGCTGGGCTCTTAATGATCAAGCCTTCTAGCTTTTTCCCCCCTTCCACTGCTGAGGACTAGAGGGATGGTGCTTCCCCATCCTCTCCTTGAAGGCATCCCGCAGATGTTCAGCTGATGATCTGCTGGCACCTCTCCGGCCCCCGCAGGAGCTTTTCAGAGCCGCGGTCTCCCGGAGTAGCCTTGGGCCTCACGCTTAGGTGGGAGTTTGGTCTTTGTTGCTGGAGCAACACTTGGCGTTTGGCTGCCTCCTCAGCAGGCTGTGCATTTGGGGCTTACGAAATGTCACCTTGGCCCTTAGGTGCTTCAGCTGCCCTCCAGCACATGTTGACTGAACGGGGGTGGGAGAAGTGAGAGCGCTTTGTTTGCAAGTGTGAAAATATCCTCCCAATATCAACGACAGTGCGTAGGAGGAAGGGGCTGGTGCTGGGGCAGAAGTTGCAGTTGCAGCTGAGGGTTTGCAAGAAAACTTGCACGTGCCCGTGCTGTTGGGAAGCCGAGAGGCCGTGCGTGGTCTTTCCGGGTGGCATCAGGAAGTGCCTGAGTAGGCCCTGCAAACTGCTGATCTCTTCATCTTCATACTAATGTAGCATTTAAACAAGCAATATTTCAGGGCTAGAGTGCTAGTGGAGGCAGCTGAAAGCGTGACATGCAAATGTCCTAGGAAATGTCTTTAAATTATCTGAATTTGCCAGCGAATAAATTATCTCCTGAATGTTTGCTTGGCAGATAAACAGAGAGGGGAAATAACGCACGACTTGAAGGAAGCAATCTGCCCGCGCGGCGCTGCGTGCTCCTGCGCGGCGCCGCGTGCTCCTGCTCGACAAGGTCGTGCAACTGCCCCACTTGGTGCAGATCTATGGTGGGAGCTGTACTGACCTCCTCCTTGAGCTTCAGGCTTGGGGAGAGCCCCAAATGCCTGGAGAAATGCTGGGTTTTGCTTGCTTTTGCATCCCAAGCACCCAGAGCCGAGGTGTTGTCACCGATCGGGACGGGTCACGACTCTCATTTTGGCCTGGAGACAACGAGGGGCCCGGAGCTCGGCTGAGCGTGGGGTTTGGGGTGATAGCTGCTGCCGGCCACCTTGCCCAGGCCTTGCACGGTGGCAGCGCTGTGCTGCAAAAACCAGGCCTGCTGGCCTGGAAACCTGAGCTCGGAGGAGGAGGACGGGGATGGCAGAGCTGGTGAAGCTCAGCCAGCTGGAAGGTGCATTAACCAAAAATGTTCTCCGGGTCTCCCCCCGGGGCTCGGACCGCTCACTGGGGCTCTGCTGATGGGGACGGACTCACTCCGCGGGGAAAGGCGGCCGCTCGCCGTTGCTCTCCGCAGGCTGGATTTCGGCGCTGGGAGAAGTCCCCGCTCAGCCTGGGGCTGGGCACCTGGCTGTCGCCCGCACGCTTTGAAGGGGCGCTGCTAAGATTTGGTTTCCACCCTTTGCTGTTCTCCCTCATCCATCCTCCCCCTTTCTTCCCTTCCTTCTTTTTTCTTCCCTTTTTGTTTTTAGTAAAGAAGCTTCTGATTCTTGCAACGTTGAAAACTCAGTTTGGCTCTGGCGTGTGGCCGGGGGCCGGCAGCGGGCTCCGCTGGGCTTTTTGGCTCCCCCCTCCCCAGCGGTCCCTCTCGCCTCCCTGCCGGGATGGACGTGCTGCATGGGGCTTGTGTTTGGGCCGGCTCGCCCCAGCCGACCGCCGTGGCCTTGGCTCTCGGGCGGACGGTATCCGGAGCGGTTTTGATTAACTCCTGCCAAAAGCCGATGCCAGCGACGTGATTGGAATTGATGCTAATCCCTTCTCATCCGCCGCTCGAGAAGAGAGCTGCGTGCGTGCTCGGAGGGGCGCCTGGGAAGGCTCTTCACGCACTTGAAAATTAATTATCAGCCCAGTCGAACGACGCACGACCCTGCTATTATAATCAGCAGGGTTGCATCCCTTTTGCGGCCCTGATCTACTGAGGGTTTCCAAGAGATTTATTGTCTCCTCGTCTGCAACAGGCCACGGCAAGCCATGGCTTCTGCTC